GGGTCCCCGCTGGCTTCGGCTCCTTGCAGCCCCGCAGCTTCCGCGCCTCCTCGCGGGTCACGGCCTGGTCCATGCGGAGCAGGCGCCCGTCCAGGCGCAGGCCCCCACCCTGCACCGGTGGGAACCCATTGGGAACCCCACAATAGGGGGATGACCCCCAGAATGGAGAGGGCCCCAAAGGTAACCCCTGAACCTACAGGGGTGGGATGGTGATGCTCCAATCCCCGATGTCACTCCTGGGGGGTCCCTTATTGCCCTGTGAGGCCCTTTGTCACCTATGGGGGTTCCTTGACATCCTGGGGAGGGGTCCTTTGTCACCCTGTTGGGAGTCTCTGTCACCCTAGGGTGTTGCTTATTGCCCTAGGGTGGTCCCTTGTCACATTGGGGTGGCCCTTTATTGCACTGGGGGGGGGGCCTATTGTTGCTCTGGGGGGTTGTCACCCCACAAGGTGTCTTTCTGTTAAATGGGGGCAGTCCCTTGTTGCCCTGAGGGAGTTCCTTATTATCCTGGGGGGGCTTTCATCACCTATGGGGGTCCTTGTCACCCCAAGGGGGGTCCTTATTGCCCTGAAGAGGTCCCTTGTCACCCTGGGGGGGGGGGGGCCTCATCATCTATGCGAGTTCCTTGTTACCTCATGGGGTCTTTTTACTGCCTTGGGGCGCTGCTTTTGCCACCAGGAAGGAACCCATTGTCACCCAGGGGGTCCCTCATCACTCCAAGGGGGTCCCTTTGTCACCTATGGGGGTCTCTCATCCCCCGGGGGGGTCCCTGTCCCCCCTCTCACCTCCCCATCGCCCTGAGCCGCATCAAGGCACTTCTGGGCAGCTTCTTGCGTCTGGAACTGGGCGAAGGCACAACCTGGGGGGCAGAAAGGGGGTTACTGGGGGGAAACAAAGGGGGTTCCCCCCTCCAGTGCCCCCCCCCCTTACCTTTGGAGTGCTCGGTGTCGGGGTGCAGCACCACTCGCACGTACTTGAGCTCCCCAAAGCGCTGCAGCAGTGTGCCCAGTGCCTCCTCCTCCGTGTCAAAAGACAGGTTCCTGGGGGGGGGGACGGGACGGGGGACAGGAGTGGCTGTCAGGGGGGGACATGGGCCCCCCACATCCACAGTGACCCCCCCCCAGTGGCAGGGAGGACCCCAAAGTGTGCTCCCCCCTGCACTGCAGCGCTCACCTGATGAACACGGTCCTGCCCTCACCCACATCAGACGGGGGGGCACCCCCCCGGCCACAGCGCTTTTTAGGTGTCTTCACAGCTGGAGATGGATGGGGGAGGGGGGTTGGGGGGGCACTGCTGAACCTCCCCAGCGTGGGAAGAGCCCCAGAACCTCAGAGAGACCCCCCTGGACCCCAACATGAACCCCCCTAAATCCCATGGAGAAATCCCCAATCCAATGGGGAGACCCCCCCCATACTTACAGGGGAACCCCCAATCCCATGGAAACACCCCCAGACCCCTGGGTAGCACCCCGCAGATCCCAGGGGCAACTCGTCAGATGAGACCCCCTAGATCCACTGGGAGCCCCCTCCAATCCAAGGGGAAACCTCCCCCAGATCCCGACGGGATTTCCCACCCTAATCCCAGTGGAGTCCCCTCAATCACCAGGGAACCTCTAAAATCCCAGGGAAACGCCCCCCAAATCTCCAGGACAGGCCCCCCAATACAAGAGGACCCTCCCCCCAGTCCAAGGGAACCCCACCAGACACCCAGGATACATCCCACCCCCCCCAAACCCCCATGGCAGCACCCAAATCCCAGGGGAGTCCTCTCCAAACCCCCAGGGATTCCCCCAAGGGACTGCCCCATGATCTACTGGGGAAACCCCCAAACCCATTGGCAGCCCCCTAAGGGAAACTCCCCCTGATCGCCAGGAACCACCCCCCTCAAGCCCAATGGCAGCACACAAATCCTAGAGGAACCACCCCTAGACCCCCAGAAGAGCCCCCTCAATCCAAGGGGAGCTCCCCCACCCTCCTCTAACCCAGCCACTGCCACCCTCATCCACCCCGAGCAGAACACACCTTCATCCTCCTCATCATCATCCTCTTCCTCATCCTCATTCTCCTGCTCACTGTGATCCTCGCTGCCTCCATCATCACCTTCTTCCTCCTCTTCTTCTCCCTCTTCCTCTTCTTTTTGCTCCTCCTCCTTTTCCTCCTCATTCTGCTCTTCCTCCTCCTTCTTCTCTCCACCCCCACCAGGTTCCTCCTTGCCCCCTGCACAGCACCAGGTACCAGCAGTGACCATCACCCCAAGTAACCCCCAGTGCCCCCCACAAAGGCCACCAATGCTGTTCAAACACCCCCAAAACCACTCGGGGGAGGGTCCCCGGTCAGGCCTGGGGGGGGGGGTGTTGGGGTGCGCAGGGTGGGGTTTGAGGTGCTCAGGGGGGTTATGGGGTGCAGGACCCTCACCCTGGGTCCCCTCTGTTGCCTGGTACTTGTCCTTGGCCACAGCCCAATCCACAGCCACCGGCCGCCCTGGGGAGGCAAAGGAACATGGGGGGACCCCATGAGTACCCCCCACTTCTGAGAGACCCCCCAAAGCCTCCTCCTCCGCTCCCCCAAACCTTTAATCTCCTTCATGTTCATCCCCCGAAGTGCTTTGGTTGCTTCCAGCACGTTCCTGAGCTGCACGAAGGCGAATCCTCGCATCTTCCCATCTGCCGAGAGCCTGGAATGCTGCTCCGAACCCCCCCATGCTGCTCCAAGTCCCCCCAGCACCCCCCCACATCCAACCTGCCCTTTGGGGGGGGGGGGGCATCACCCCAAAACCCACCCCTATGAGGCAGGGGGGATGGGATTTACCTGCCTTCTTGGGGATGTTCACCTCCAGCACAGAGCCATAGGGCGAGAAGAGATCCCTCAGCTCCTCCTCTGAGCACTGGGGGTGGGGGGCAGGGGGTGAACTGGTGGTCCCCAAACCCACCACCCCTCCCAGGCTCTCTCAAGACCCCCCCAGACCTTGAAGCTGAGGTTGCGGACGATCAAACGTGCTTTCCTGGATGCCGGCCGGGGCTGCTTCGCCTGCTGGGGGTTCCCTGTGGGGGGCAATGGGCATTGAGAATACTCAGCTCCCCTCTGGGGGTGCAGGATAGGACCGGGGACCCCCTCTCACCTCCTGCCTCCTGCACTGCCCCCCCCCGGGGGGGTTTCTGCCCCCGGCGCCGGGCGGGAGTCACGGTCAGGCGATGGCTGCCCCATGGCGGGGGCTCCTCAAGGGCTCTTTGGGCATCCTCGGCCAGGGAGAAGGTGACGTAGCCAAAGCCACGGCTCCTCTGGGTGCCTGGGGGGGACAACGGGGGGAGAAAGGGGGAGCCAAGTGCTGACACCCCAAATACTGCCCCTCCTGAACCCCCTTCCTGGCATCCCCAAACTGGGGGTCACAAATGTGACCCCCCCATTCAACAGTCCTAGACAATGGCTCTGGGGGTCCCCACGACCCCCAAATCCTGTCCCCCCCAAATTCCTGCCACACAGTGTCCTCTGGGACCCCCCCAATAAACAGGTCTCAGGACACAGCAGCATCCCTAAACCCTGGTCCCAGACCTCTGTAGCCCCCCAACCCTGGTCCTGCCCCCCCCCCCCCAGCCCCTGGTCCCAGCACCCCAAATGCTGTCTCTGGGTCCCTCTTTGGTCCAAGCCCTGCTCAGCACCCACCAGACCCCAGCCCCAGGCCACTCGGCCCCCCAAAACCCTGGTCCCAGAGCTCGGCCGCATCCCCTTCTCCAGCCCCCTTGAAGCCCCTCAGCCCATACCCATAGCCGAGTCCCAGCCCTCCTCCCTTCCCCTGGTCTCCTTCATCCCCTCCAAACCCCATTCCCAGCCCCCCCCAATCCCCCAGACTCTGGTCCCAGCCCCCTCCTGATCCTAAAACCCCAGTCCTGGCACACCAAAACCGCGGTCTCAGCCACTTTCAGCCCCCCAGACTCCAGTCTTGGCCCCTCTCAGCACCCCCGATCCCGGTTCCGGGTCTCCCAGACCCCAAACCTCACTCCCAGCTCCCCCAGCCGCCGGTCCCAGCCCCCCCGGACCCTTCTCTGTGACGACGAAGCCGCGCCGCAGGGGCCCGATGCTCCCGAAGAGCTGCTGCAGCTCCGCGTCGGTGGCGGCCGCGGGCAGGCCCCGCACCAGCACCGTGCGGCTGCGGGGCGCCGCCATCTTGGACCGCGCAGTGCAGGAGGGGGCGGGACACATAGGAGGCCGGGGGGAGAGAGCGCCCACTGGCGGCGCGGAGGAGAACCGCGGGGAGAAGGATGCGGAGGGGTTTTGGGGGTCCCACATGGGGGGACACACTCCCACAGGGGCTTGGGGGGCATATCCCAGGGGTCAACTGGGGGGTCACGGGGACCCTATGGGGTCTCAAGGGTTCCCATCACAGGGACTTGGGGATCAAGGGCGGTTGGGGGTCCTTGTCCCAAGGGTGGTGGGGATCGTGGGGGTCCCATCCCAGGGGTGTGAGGGGTACCGAAGGTCCCATTATAAAGGCTGTGGGGCCAGGGGGCTCGGGGCTCCCCTACGAAGGGTTAGAGGGGGTCTTGGGTGTCCCATACCAGGGGTCATAGGGGTCGTGGTGGGGTTTGAGGGTCCCACCCAAGGGTCACAGGGGGATTATGTGGGGGTCACAGTGTGGGGGCACTCCCCGTTGTGGGGGTCCCGCGCGGTCACACTCACACCCTTTGTGCGTGGCACTTTATTGGGTACAAGGGGGGGCACCCCCTAATATCCCTCCCCCCAGCGGTTGAGTGGGGAGGGCTTGTTAAAGGGGGGGCCCTGGGGCACGGGAGGGGGGCTCAGATTGTCACCACTTGGGGGGTCTGAGGGGCTGGGAGGGTCCCCAGGGTGTCATCAGCACTTGGGGGGCTCAAGGACATGGGGGGCTCCAGGTTCTTGCTCATACTTGGGGGGGGTCACAGGGACTTTGGAGGCTGCTGGGGGGTCCCCAAGTTCTCATCAGCACAAGGATATGGGGGGGCTTTGATGTCACCCGTATGTGGGGGTCCCAGGGACCTTGGGGGTGTTTGGAGGGGTCCCAGGTTGTCATCAGCACTTGAGGGTCTCAAGGACATGGGGGGTCCCAGGGACCTGGGGGGCAGATGGGGTCTCTTGGGGAGGTCTCCAGAGCACTTGGGGGTCCGAGGGGGGGTCCCAGCCCCACTGGGTGCCCCCAGCACCATGAGGGGGTTTGGGGATGCCCCCCTACAAGTCTATGGTGTCACTGCCCTGTGGGGACAGGAGGGCACTGTCCTGGACCCCTGGGGACACCGCGAGGGCCCCAGTGCCGGAGGAGGAGCAGTGCAAGGCGGGGATGCCGGTGGGGCTGGGTCCTGTGGTGGAGGTGCCAGGACTTGGGGCCATGGTTGTGGCAACACTTGGGGTCGTGGGTGCTCCAAGAGGTGCTGCAGTTGTGCCAAGAGCTGGTGTGCTGCTCGTGCCAAGGCTTGAGGTTGTGGTTGAGCTAACGCTTGGGGTCATGGTTGTGCCAACGCTTGAGGTCATGGTTGTGTTGAGAGCCAGAGTCATGGTGGTACCAACACTGGTGGTTGTGGTTGCACCAACACTTGGGGTTGTGGCTGTACCAACACTTGATGTCATGGTGGTACCAACACTGGGGGTTGTGGTTGTACCAACATTTGATGTCATGGTGGTACCAACACTGGGGGTTGTGGTTGTACCAACACTTGATGTCATGGTTGTACCAACAGGGGTTGTGGTTGCTCCAAGAGTTGTGGTTGCACCAAGATCTGGGGCCATGGCTGTATCAAGACCTGGTGTGCTGGTGGCGCCAGTACTTGATGTCACAGTGGTACCAACACTTGATGTCGTGGTTGTGCCAAGACTTGAGGCCATGGTTGTGCCGATGCGTGTGGTGCTGAGCTCTGGTTTGCTGGTTGTGCTGAGCACCGGTGCACTGGTTGTGGTGGCTGCAGGTGTGCTGGTGGTGCCGGGACTTGAGGCTGCGGTTGCATTAAGACTTGATGCTGTGCTTGCTCCAAGACTTGGGGCCACGGATGCGCCGAGACTTTGGGTCATGTTTGGGCCAAGAGTCGTCGTTACGGTTGGGCCAAGAGTCGTCGTTACGGTTGGGTCAAGAGTTGCTGCCATGGTAGTACCAAGGCTTGAGGTCACGGTTGTCACAATGCTTGGTGTCGTGGCTGTACCCACGCTCGAGGCCAAGGCTGTCCCAGGGCTCGAGACCAAGGTTGCGTCAAGACCAGAGCTCAGGACCCCATCGAGACTCGACGTCAAGGTTGCCCCAAGACTCGACAACGTCACAGATGTCCCGAGACTCGGCGTCAGGGTTCCTTCCACACTCGGGACCGTGGCCTTGCCGCTGCCCCCCACCCTGGAGCCCCCATTGCCCCCCATTCCCAGCATGTTCCACCCCGTTCCCAGCCCATTCCAGCCCAACCCGCCCACATCGCGGCCGATCCCGTGCCGCGCCCCCAGCGCCTCGTCGATGCTGCGCCGCAGGTTGATGGGCGTCGGGGGCACATCGCGGCCGATCCCGTGCCGCGCCCCCAGCGCCTCGTCGATGCTGCGCCGCAGGTTGATGGGCGTCGGGGGCCGGTACCCGGCCGTGGGGTCCCCGTCCCCCTCCGTGGCCTCGGGGGGTGCCCCACCGCTGGGTCCCCCCCCCGCATCCCCGGCTCCCGCCTCGCCGCCCCCCTCCGGCTGCTCCGCGGGGCGCCGCTGCGACATCGGCTTGACCATGGCCATGGCGGCCACCGTGCCCCCCATGGCCACCTCCGCCACCCGGCACCCCAGCTGCAGCCCCCACCACCCCCAGGGCCCCTGCGGCCCCGCTCCCGCCCACCCCACGGCCGCGAGCACCCCGTACACCTGCAGCACGGCGCTGCCCAGCGCCCCCAGCACCCCCACGGCGCTCCCGAGGAGCGCCCCCCCGCGGCAGCCGCCCCCCGCGGGCAGCGCCAGCGCCAGCCCCAGCGCCAGCGCCACGAACCCGCCCCGCGGCAGCAGCAGCAGCGCCCCCGCGCGGCCCAGCCCCGCCACCGCGAGCACGGCGCCGGCCGCCAGCGCCAGGTGCAGCAGCGCCAGCGCGGCCGGCAGGGGGCGCGCCAGGCCCCGCGCCAGCCCCCAGCCCAGGCACGGGAAGGGCAGCTCGAAGAGGAGGCGCGCGCAGGGCGCGGGGAGCAGCCCCCGCCGCTCGTACGGGTCCAGCAGCAGCGGGAGCGCGCGCGCGGCCCCCGCCACCGCCAGCAGCGCCCCCCGCGGCCGCGCCGCGCGCCCCGCGCCCCCCCGCAGCAGCAGCGCGAGCCCCAGCAGCGCCAGCGCCGCGAACACCGCCCCCGCCCCGAACACGTGCGCGGGCCACGCCCGGCCCCACGCGCCCGCGGCCGCGCCCCAGCTGCGGGGCGGGGGGAGGAAGTGCGGGGGCCACGAGAAAGGCGCGGGGGAGGCGCGCGGGTGGGGGGGGCACCGCGACGGCGGGGGGCAGGGGGAGGAGGAGAGGGTGGGCGGGGCTGCAGAGAGGGGAAAGGGGGGGTCAGGGGGGTGAGCACCCGCGCGGGATGTGCACGCCCGCCCCGCACCCCCGTGTAGCACCAGGACACCACTGGGCACCCACCCCCCCCCGGGACACCCCAGAACCCTCCGGGAGCCCCCTGCCCCCCATAAGAGACCCCAAATCACCCCCAGTCACCCTCAATGCCCCCCCGATCCCCCCCCGACTCCCCTAAGACCCCAAAACAACCCCAGTACCCCCCGATCCCACCCTCGACTCCCTTAAGCCCCCCCCTCCCCCGGATCTCTTCCACCTGGGGCTCCCAAACCCTCCAATCCCCCCAGGCTCCCCCTACTCCCCCATTAATCCCCCCAGGAGCCCCCATTCCCCTCCCAGGACCCCCTCTCTTCGATGATGCCCCCAATCCCACCCGGACCCCCCATACCCCCTTTAGAGACCCCCAAGACTCCCCCTAGGACCCATCAACAGCACCCCAGACCCTCCTCAACTCCTCCCCCCCCCCCCCCCCCCCCCGGATCCCACTTTATTTCCCCTCCAGGCCCCCCCTGAGCTCCCATTAACCCATAGCCCCCATTCCCCATTCCCAGGACCCCTCACTCACCTCCATGACACCCAAATCCCACCAGGAACTCCCCCGGATCCCCCCCCCGGACCCTCCAACACCCGCCCAGGACCCTCACCTGGCTCGGTGCTGCCGCTGCCGCCCTCCTCCTGCCCCCAGGAGCCGTTGCCCCCCCCCAGCGCCTCAAAGCTCAACTTGGGGGGCACCGTAGGAGCCAGGGACCCTGGGGGGGGGGAGACACGGACCCACAGATTGGGGGGGGGCCTTAATATTGGGGAGGGGACCCCAGGCCGGTGTTGGGGGGCACTCACCGGCCATAGGGGGGCCCTGCAGGAGGCTGGGGGGGGACGACCCCACTTTGGGGTCCAGCCCCGCTGTCAGGTCAATGGCGATGTCCAGCTCCAGCCCCTTGTGCTTCTCAGATGGGGTGGTCCCCTTTGGGGGGGGGACGCCCCCAAAGCCCCCCATTGCCAATGGGGGCGTCCCAGAGCCCGTCTCGTCACCGGGGTCCCAGCCTGACCCCAATGGGGACAGGCTGTGGGGCTGGGGGGGCGATGTGGGGCGGGGGGGGGGCCGACTTCGCACCTTGATCTTGAAGTTGAGGCCGAGGTTGAGGGACAAGACGGGGGGGGCGTCGCTGTGGGGAGCCCCATAGATGGGGGGCAGGCAGAGCAGGGCCAGCAGCAGGTGGGGGGCAGCGCCCGGCCCCACTGGGGACATCGCTAGAGACATCTGCGGAGGGGGGGGGTGGGGGTGGTGGTTACACGGAGCTGGGCACCGCTATGGGGTCTGCGGGGGACTGACAGCAGCCACCCCACGGCACAGCCAGACCCATGGCACCCAGCCAGACCCGTAGGGTTCAGATAGTCCCACATCACAGCCAGCCCCTCAGGACATAGCCCACCCCATGGCACACTCAACCCCACAGCACGCATCCTACCCTACATCACAGCCAGCCCCATGGCCAGCCCTGCAGCACACGAAGCCCCATGGCGCAGTCATCCCCATGGAACAGCCAGCCCCATGGCACATCATCCACCCCATGGCACACACCCAGCCCCACAGCCCACTGAGCCCCACAAGAACACCCAGCCGTATGGCACACTCTGCCTCATGGCCAGCCTCACAACACTGTCATCCCCGAGGCGCAGCCATTCCTATGGCACACAACCATGGGCAGCCCCACAGCCCCCACAGCTCCACAGCGTTCAGCACCCCCAGCACCACGGGGCCCATGGAGCTCATTGGAGCGTGATGGAACCCTCCCCCCGTGACCTGGTTCCCCCCATTACCTGGGTCCCCCCATGACCCGGTGTGTCCCCCCCCCCGCCCGGTGCCTGTCCCTAATGCGAGTGACAGGAGCTGTCTCTGGTGTCACATCGGCCGAGTCCCGCTGGATGTGACGTGACGGGACCCAGCGGCACCGGCACCGTGCGGGGCCCGGGCCCGGGGGGGGGGAGGAGGGCAAGGGCACACATGGGGTGCGGGGGGCGGGGGGGGGGGCACACCCGCACGTCCCGGTGCAGCACCCACGGGTGACACACACGGACCCCGTGGGGTGCACGCGCGCGAGACACGGGATCACCGCGGGTCCCATGCGCGTGGCAGCACACGCGTGGTTGCGCGCACCCCCCTGCGCTCCCCCTCGCACCCCCTCACCGCGCACCCCCCTTGCACGCGCACCCGCCCCCCACGCTCCCGCCACCGCGTGCACGCGTGGGTGGCCGTGTGCGTGTGACACCGCGTGTGGGTGTGCACGCGTGACAGCGCGTGTGAGCGTGAGACAGCGGGGGGGGGGGCACCCACCTCCAGCACCCCAACACCCCCCAGCACCCCTGCACCCAGCACCCTGGTGTAACGCACCCCAAACCCCTCCACCCTGGGCACGCAGCACCCGCACCGATCGCCCTGCACCCCAGCACTGAGCTCCCCGCACCATGAACCCCGAAACCCAGCACCATGGGCACCCCATCCCCGTGCACCCTACACCACACACCCCAAAACCCCTGGGTACCCCAGCATCCAGCACCCTTCACCCTAGCACCTCAACATCGTGCACCCCAGCAAAGCAGCACCCCAAACCCCTGCACCCAAGGTATCCTGGGCACCCCAATACCCAGCACCCTGCACTCCCGTACCCAGCACCCCAATACCGGGCACCCCATCGCCCTGGACACCCCAAACCCCTGCACCCCAGCACCCCCATACCTGACACACCCCTTCCCCACACCCCCGTCCGTGGAAAGCCCCCCCCCCCCCCCCCCAAGCACCCACCGGCCTCGGCGGCGGCTCCAGCCGCGGCCCCGCTCCGCGGCAGCACCGGTCTCAGCGGCACCGGCCCCTCCCCTCACCTCCCCCCACCCCACCTTTACAGCCCCCCCCTTCTTCACCCTCCTCTTCACCCCCTCCTCCTCATCCTCCTCCTCCGCGATGGACGCGGGCACTAGGACCCGGCGGAGGCCCGCTCGGCTCGGCTGAGCTCGGCTCCGTTCGGCTCCGTTCGGCTCCGCTCGGTTCCTCTCGGTCGCACTTGGCTCCACTCGGCTGAGCTCGGCCCCGCTCGATGCCGCTCGGGTAAACTCGGCCGCGCTCGGCCCCGTTCGGTCGCACTCGACTCGACTCGGCTCCGATCGGGTGAGCTCGGCCCCTCTCGTCTCCCACGGTTACATCGCTCACACTTGCCCCGCTGCTCACACGCGTGGTGATGGTGGCACTGGTACTCATGGTGGCACTGGTGCTGATGGGTGCGCCACTGCAGCTCCCTCTGCCCTCCTCTTCCTCAGCCGAGACATCACTTCTGCCACATGTGGGACACAAACCTGTGTCCTGGAGGACAAGGCCGTGCCCCGGTGTGCAAACATGTGCCATGCTGTGCAAGGCTGTGCCCATGGTGTGCAAGGGCAAACCATGGTGTCCAAACCTCTGCTAGGGTTGCAAACCCTTGTCTCCATGTGCAAACACGTGTCACAGTGTGTAAAGCCATGTCACGTCATGCAAGCCCACCCCACTGTGCAACACCGCTTCGGGGTGACCCAGCTGTCCCCAGGTGTGCGAAGCCATGTCACGTGTGTCACGTGTATCACATGTTTATCACATGTGCCACGTGTGTTCCATGCGACACCCACACCATGGGATGCTCTATTACTTTATTAATACCTGATATAACGGGGTCCCCCTCAGCCTGCTGGGGACCCCTGGGATGGGCAGTCCCTGGATTCTGGATTGGGGGGTCCCTTGGGGGGGGGCTCCCTGGTTATGGGGGGGGTTCCCTGTGGGGGGGACACCCTGAGATGGGGGATCCCTGGGTATGAGGTCCCTGGGTAGGGGAAACACCCGGGGTGGGGGGGTCCCTTCTAGGGGGGTCCCTGGGTTGGGGGTGACCCCTGGGTGGGGATGTCTCCAGGATGGGGGGACCCTGAGCGGAGGGACCCTGAGTGGGGGGTCCTGTGTTCCCCCCAAGAAGGGGTTCAGGGGGGTGCAGCACCCTGGGGCCCCCCCCAAGCACCATGGCCCTGAGGGGTGCTGGGGGGTCGGGGCAGTCCAGCCCATAGTGCAAAGAGCCCCAGAGCAGCACCAGTGATGGTGCTGCTCCGGGGGGGGTGGGTCAGGGGGACCCCATCCTCAGTACAGCCGCTTCTCATATCTGCGGGGCAGAGATGGGGATTCGGGGGGGTGGGTGTGCGTGTCATTCAATCAGCCAGCCAATGAGCAACCAGGTCAGCATCCTGCCAATCTGCATCCCAACTATCTGACCAATCATAGCCAAACAGCATCCTGACTGATCACCCAGTCACCCAACGAGCATTCTCACCACCATTCAACGAACAAATGAGCAACCTGGTCCCCCAACCAATCAACCAACCAGCAGACAGGACAGCAACCGGTCAACCAGCATCCCAACCAGCTGACCAATCACAGCCAACCAGCATCCTGACTAGCCAACCAATCAGCATCTTGGCCAGCAATGAACTGACCAACCAGCATCCTGGTCAACCAGCCAACCATCACCTCAAACAGCCAATCACAGCTAACCAGCACCTCAACCAACCAATCAGCAGCCACCCAAACACAAGAAGCCCCGGCCCCACACCCAGACCCCAAAACCCACTGCAGTATCTCAGGGGGCCCAAGGTCAAGCCCCCGAGTGCCCCAGGCTCTCCCAGTCAGGACCAGTACTCCCAGCACAAGGGTGCACCATAGCTGGGGGGGCTTGGCAATAGGGTAAGGAGGGGGCTGGGAACACCGAAACTTAGCAATGGGGGAGACTGGAACCCCCAGTAGCTCACACTGAGGCAATGGGGAGGAGCTGGGACCCCCAAACCCCAGCACAGGGACACTGGGACCCCCCCAGTACCTGAGCAAAGGGTAGCTGGGACCCCCCATAATCTAAAACTGGGATCACTGGGTGCCCCGCCCAACACGTGTAACCCCACACCCCATATCCCCCCCAAGCTCTTCCTTTGTCCCCTCTCCTTACGAGTGGAGCCCGTGGACGCCCCCCTCAAGCTGTGCTGCCATAGTCCTCCTCTCGAACTTCAGCTCCCCCGAGTACATCATGGACCTGGGGGGGACTGGGTGGTCAGTGGGGTCGGGTACCCCCAAACGCCCCCCCTCCATGACCCCCCCTCAACCTACCGCAGCACTGAGAGGCTCCGGGCGCCGATGTCCTGGCACCCATGCTGGATCCCGGCAATCAGGTACGGGATGAAGTGATGGATGGAATTCTCTGGGATGGGGCCGGATGGGTCCCCCTTGCTATGGGGTGACATGGGGGGGGGTAATAAGGGGTGTTCAGGGTGCAGGGACCCCCCCGCCCCAGACCCTCCCTATGATGTACCTGTGGTGGTGGCCAGCGGCTGTGTCCTGGTGCGGTGACAAACGGGTGGCATCGCGTGGGAGGAATTCAGGGGGGGGGTCGGTGGGGGGGGTCAGGAGGGAGCCCAGCATCACTGTGGGGGGGACATGGGGGTGTTAGGTATGGGAGGGCAAATGACACAAGGGTGGGGGGTCAGGGACCCACGGGGTGGAGAATGGGGAGGTTTGGGAGGGGTCAGAACTGAAAAGGGGGGGGACTGGGGGGCAGGGACCCAATGGGGGGCAGCAGGGGGCTACAGGGGGCATCAGGCCCTCCTCAGGGTAAGCTTTGGGGTGGTTACAGCAGGGTCGAAGCCATTGGACCCGCTGGGGAGGCACCAGGGTGGGTGGCGGGGTAATGGTCCCCCTTGGGGTGGGTGCAGGAGGGTCCTATCCATCAACCCCCCCCCCCGGGTGGTCCTAAACGTGGGTGCAGGGGGTCCCCATCCATCAACTACCCTCGAGGTATCCCTCAATGTGGGTACAAGATGGGGTGTCAGGACCCCAGTATGAGCATTGGGGGGGGGGTACAGGGGGTCAGCCCCCCAGGGATGAGTTTTGGGGTGGGTGCAGAGGGGTCTCCACCCATAACCCCCTCCAGAATAACCACAAAAGTGGGTACAAGGGGGTCCCCATCCACCACCCCCCCCCCGGATAACCCCAAATGCGGGTGCCGGGGGGTGATGGGATCCCAGAGGGTGCACGGAGATGTGAGGTCAGCGACCCCATACTGGGCTTTGGGGTGAGTGCAGGGGCGGCCCCATCCATCGCCCCGCCCCGTTTTCCCCGCTGGTGTACATGGACTGCCCCCCCCTACCCGTGGAGGCGCCGAGCGCCAGCGCCTTCACCACGTGGCCCAGGGTGCGGAGGCCGCCGTCGGCGATGACCGGGACTCCGAAGCGCCGCGCGTACTCGGCCACGCGGTAAACGGCGGTGCCCTGCGGCCGCCCGCACGCCTGCGCTGCGGGAACGGCGTCAGCACCCGCACGGGTTCAGCACCCGCAGGGCGGACAGCGCCCAAGGCGGCAGCAACGGGGGCGCTTTGGGGGGGGGTTTGAGGGGCTTGGGGGGTCAGGAGGTACCTTCATGGGTGAAGCAGCCGGTGCCCACCCGCAGCGCATCCACCCCAGCATCGATGAGGTTCTTGGCTTGGGCGGCTGTGACCACTGCAACAGCACAACATGGGATACCCCAACGGGACGCACCGACATGGGACACCCCCATGGGGAGACCCCAACGTGGGACAGCCCCACTGGGGGCAAACTGAGACGGGACACCCTGACAGGGGTACCGCCAAGGGACAACTAGGTGGGACACCACAAAATGGGACACCCTGACATCGGAGACCCTGACATGGGACATCCCAAAGGAGACACTCTTTAGAACAGAACCCATAGGACACCCCCATGGGGACAGACCCAGATGGGACACCTGCAGAGGGGACATCAACATGGAACACGCTAATATGGGACACCCTCATAGAAACACCCCCATGGGGGACAACCCCATAGGGGACACACTGAGATGGGACATCCCCATACCGTGATACCCCTAGCTCGTGGGGTCCACTGCACCCCAATGATCCCCCTGAGCAGCTCAGTGCCCCATGGCACCCCAAAACTGTGCTCAAGAGCACCCCAATACCCAACTCCATGGCATCCCAGTGCTGTCCCTGCCCTTCATCCCAATATTCTGCCCCACAGCTCCCCAGTCCTTATCCCATGATACCCCAATACCGCCCCTGCCCTGCACCCACACTGCACCCCAAACTCCCACCCTGCTCCACACCTCTGGCATCCCTATTCTGAGCCCCACATCACCCCCTCCCCACCCCCCTCACCGGTGCCACCGATGACTGGGAGCTGCGGGTACCGGCTCTTGATGTACCGGAGCATCCCCAGCTGGAACCGGGAGTTCCCCTGGGATGAGTCCTGGGGACAAGGAACAGGGGGCACCCAGTGAGGGGAGGCATAGGGCAGACACATGGTTTTGGGGTGCTGGGCAAGGACAGATTTGGGGTGCTGTGGGGCTGAGAATTGAGGTGCTGTGGGGTTGGGAGCAGGGCAGGGGGAGCGTGGGGGTACAGGGGTAAGGATTTGGGGGGTTGTGCAGGGTATTGGGGTGTCACAGGGTGAGGAGCAGGGCAGTGTTTGGGGTGCAGGGCAGGGGAAGCATTGGGATGTCCTGGGGGAAGGATTTGGGGTGCAGAGTTTGGGATGCTCTGGGAACAGGATTTCAGTGCTGTGGGTCTGGCTGTTGGTTGGGGTGCAGGGCAGGCTGGGGTGCACTGTGTCTCATATTCCCCTCCAGTCTCAGCATTCTTCTGCCATGTCCCTTACTCAGCAGCACCAGGTTGGGATATGGGGTGTCCCCATGTCCCCCCGTGTCTGTCCCTCCCCAGCAGCCCCAGGTCAGAGTGTGCTGTCCCCCCATGCCCGTGCCCCCCCCATGTCCGTCCCTCACCAGCAGCACCAGGTCCACGTGTGCCTGCACCAGCAGGTCCAGCCGGTACTTGTCGTCCTCGCGGGTGCCGATGGCCGCCCCGCAC